GCAACAAACTGACTAGTTTATCAAAACACCAACTGTATGATTTCTTGAATCAAAATCAGTTCATCTCAATTAAATTAACAATGATCGCTGACATGACAGCATTTGCAATGCACCGAAAAAGCGATCCTTTGAAGCAGTTAAACACTGCTAATGACATCTTACAACAAAACTAGCAGGAATTATTTATTTATTCAATTATTTTTCTTTATACAGGCTGTTGTTTAACGTGGTTAATTTCAGAAAATAAATAAAGAGTTAAAATTTTAACTTCCGTCAACATGGCAGAGGCTAACGCCCAGGAGAGTAACCTATTGCACATTCTAGAACTAACGTTTTCCGCTGATATGAAGTGGCAGAAGTACACGAAATCAAATGCTAAATCGAGATAGTATATATATATATATATATATATATATATATATATATATATATATATATATATAATAAACACGTTATTCCAAAAAAATTTCGCTTGGAGATGGAACAGAGCTTATTTTAACTCAATTTAATTTAAATAATTATATTGAAGTTTTCGGCTCTTGTTTTGAAACATGGGACTTCTTATGTCGCGATTTGGAATCATATTTTTAAATAAATAATTATATTTATGTTCTACTTTTTTTTTTTATCGAGCACTATTTTAAAAAAAAATAATAACTAAAATACTAAGGACTTTGGATTATTTACCTAACCAGTTCCTTCCTATTTTCTATATATTTTCACACACACACACACACACACACAAACACACACACACACACACATATATATATATATATATATATATATATATATATATATATGTGATATATTGGTTAACGGTTCGAAATGAGAAATCGGAGAGCCGAGTTCGAATTCCAGTCGTGTTCTTTATCTTTCTCTAACCCTAACCCTTGGGCGATCATGAATCGAAAAAGTGTTGGGTAGTTTACCATGTCTTAAAATCCATATATTTATCCCCCCTACATATCAGTAAAATTACCTATCCATTAAATATATTAATATACGCATATATATATATATATATATATATATATATATATATATATATATATGCGTGTGTGCGTTTTTGATTGTGTATATGTGTGTGATTTATAGATGTGTAAATGTTTCTTCTCAGCCTGTGAAGGTCATTTTTGGGTAAATGCCTTCCTCAAATTGATATACAGGAATGGGCCATTGCCCAACCTCACTGGACCAGTACCTGTTGTTTGGAGCAAATGTGACACCTTTTTCGATTCATGATCGCCCAAGGGTATTTTTAGCATAAAGAACACGACTGGAATTCGAACTCGGCTCTCCGATTTCTCATTTCGAACCGTTAACCAATATATCACACACACACATTCACGTTTACAACACCGGGTATTCTTAAGTGGTTCTGAACAGACCTGCTACTCACCATACTCAACGTTGCTTAACTTCAATGATCGGTTGGAAACTGGTGTGTGAATGTGATATAGCCTTAAGCCTTATAAACATTTACATGAGTACAAATCAATGTGTTTGAATAAATCGGTTATAAATACAATATTGGAGCTGCATTCGTTATAGTGGAACTGAAATAATCAATCATCGATATATTTAATGGATAGGTAATTTTATTGATATGTAGGGGATAAATATATGGATTTTAAAAGACATGGTAAACTACCCAACACTTTCTTCTGAAGAGAAGAGCGACAAATATACGTTTGTTTCGCTACCCATCAGTTTAACAACGTCTAATTGCATTATAGAGAAAACTGAATGAATATTGATACAAAAACCTGTAAAAAAAATACAAGGAAAATAGTTTCTAGTATCGTCAACTCCAGCAGACAAATTGACTCACATGTTTATGCTTTTGAAATTTTAAACATGTTTCGGTTGATGTCTTATACGACGGCCTTATTCAGGTGTAATGTTCGTATGGAATGAGTTGATCTGTTTCTCAGGCATTTTATGTTCTGCCATATAGATAGGTGTAAAATACTGGGGAATAAGTTAAAGTTAATGATTGGGATTTAAAAAATAAAGACAATAATCAGACGTGTTGTTGAAAATATATCGTATTTATATTAGTTCGAAAATAATGTATTATTATAATTATTATGCTGAAATAAGATATATTTGATAGGTTCAGTAGACGATCCAAAATCACGCAAAATAAGGTAAAAGAGTGTTGTGGTGAGGCCTTTTGCTGTGGCCCGTGAATTGACGAATCAGACAATTATGGAAGATCCGAAATTTCTAGCTAAAAATGAAACGTGTCCCTTCAAAATTCTTCAGTGTGACAAATGTAGTATGGGAGAAACGTTGGTCTGTAAATGTTAGGATTGTCCAATTGTTAGATTAGCTTGAACCGTTGTATCTTCGAAATGATTAAAGTTATCTCACGAGAATTCTTTGAGTTTTTATAACACGTTTAGATTCTATTTTGAACAATAAGAATGTATCTTATTCTGAGTTGAAATGATGACCCCTCTTCCTGTTGTGACCTCCTGATCCAGTTTTCCTC